CCATAAACACATCTGTCTATTCCTGAAGGTCTTATCCTTCAGTCTCTCTCTCCCTCTCCACACATAACCTAATCATATGAGAGAATAAATTAATGTTTGATTTTTAAACAAAACTATTTTTGGGTTTCCTATGATTAGCCCAAAACCCACACCAAAACTTTTTTACAACGAATTGATTTATCGGTGTTTTTAGTGTTTAGTAAAAATTAACACAAAAAAGTGTTTATTAATAACTTTATATCTTATTTTTTACTCTCTTTTCGCCACAAATACAGAGCTGTCGGTAAGACATGTCTTTTGATCAGTTATACGACAAACGCATTCCCCGGCGAATACATCCCAACGGTGTAAGTAAACCATTGATGATATCAATCATCCATTGATTATATCGTTTATGCGATTATATATTAAATGTTTGGTTTGTTTTTCACTACTTCTGTGTCACTCTCTGGTGATCAACAGATTCGACAACTACTCGGCGAATGTGATGGTCGACGGAAAGCCTATAAATCTGGGCCTTTGGGATACAGCCGGTCAGGAGGACTACGACCGACTTCGACCGCTTTCATATCCACAAACGGTATGTACTTTTAATGGTAACATTCCTCTTGATTCCAGTCACTAAATCTATCTTAAACTTGATATACAGGACGTATTCCTGATATGCTTCTCTTTGGTAAATCCGGCCTCATTTGAGAACGTGAGGGCAAAGGTTGGTAACAATTCACACACCCTTTCATGTCAATCACTACTAACTAATCAATCACTTGTCTCTCCCTTTCTCTGTCACACTCGACGCCCATATATTAGTGGTATCCGGAAGTGTCCCATCACTGTCCAAATACACCAATTATTCTCGTGGGCACTAAACTAGATCTGCGCGACGACTCCAAGACTCTGGAGAAGCTGAAGGACCGCAAACTGGCGCCCATTACGTACCCGCAGGGGCTGGCGATGGCCAAAGAGATCGGAGCCGTCAAATACCTGGAGTGTTCGGCGCTCACCCAAAAGGGCCTGAAGAATGTGTTCG